AGTTCAACAACAACCTTGTGAAAACCCTTTCGCTTTGGCTAACAAAAACATGCGACAGTTTACAGTGTACATAGATAGGGGTTTTTTTTACGTAGCGTAGGATCGCAAGGATAAAAAAAAATTTTTCACCTTTAAACATTCAGGCTCAATGCATTCAATATGTATGAAAAAATGGAAAAAAGACAACATTTTGCAGATTTCTCCTGAATCTCGTCAAACAAAACAAAAAGTATGGTACCACACCTATACCTTCCCCTCAAAAGGACCCGTCACAAACCACAACCTGTCCCCCAACCACAGCCAGTGGGGGAATCCCAAACCAATCACTCCTTCATATCGGTACCAATACCAACCACCCAAAGAAAAGAATGCCCGAAAAAGTTATTGTGTGTGCACCCCAAAAAAACACCCCCAACACGGGAAAGGACACATATTCATTTCACCGTGGGGGTGGACCTGTATAATCCATGCTTCATGAGTAAAATACAATTGGGAGTTCAGAAATTAAGTGGGGCATGTAAAACTTTTATAATTTAAAAAATAAAGTGTGATCAGCCCCGGGGTGCAAAAAAACCTTCGTGTGTAAATGTGTGTTTTATACAAATATAAAAATTTCGTAAGAAAAATTTGGTTTTAAAACAAAAAAATTGGGTTGATACAAATGCTTCTAGAAACATAATTACATACATGAAAACCAAGAAAATGAAAAAATATGGGAAAAAAACTAAATATTTAAATTTTTGCAAGCAGCATGCTCCTTTTTGCCGTCAGGTGATCGCCAAGCGCCAACTTCGCGGGTTTAAACCCGAAGTACGACCCAAATTTTTTTTTATGCTAAAACACTTAAAAAAAAGTGCCTTTTTTATATAATTTTTTTTTTTTTTTTTTTCAAAAAATTTGGGGCGCTGCGCAGTGAAAAGTATATATACTTTGGACCTTTTGGGTTAAATTTTAAATTAGAATGAAATAAAATTCAAATATTATATGGATATTTTTCCCCACAGTGGACAGTGAAGAAATTAATTTTATTTTGCAACAGAATCCTTATTTTTAACGAAGATTATACAAAAAATAAAATTTAAATTTTATTTATAATAAATGATATTTTTTTTTTTGAAAACACACTTGATTTTCTGTGGGGGGCAGGGCACGCCACAACCATAGCCTTCCACTTTTTCCGGCCCAGCAACATTATCCAACTTTTGAAGAGCGGCAAAACTCGTAAAACATCAGCATACTGTAATAGATAATAATACAGTGTATATAAATATTAGTACAAGGTTTAAAATTAATACTTACTATGTTACTAAAATCAGCTCAAGTTAATTTATGAAGGGATTCAGGGAAATCAGCAGGCCAGACTTGATTCCTTGAGATGGGAAGTACAGTGCCAGCACTCCGAAGGACGAGTGTTAATGCTGCAGTTTTATAACTGTAGTGTAAGCATGCCTCTGGCAAGGCAGTGATGGAGTGAATGACGATCAAAGTTTTTCTTTTTCGGACCACGCTGCTTTGGTGGGAAACAGCAGATGTGTTAATAAAAAAAATAAAGTTAAAATAATCTACTGTGTTGGGACAGGATATACATTTAGGTTAATACAGTATTTAAGGAATTCAGACAGGCTATTATCTGGGTCACAGGTACAAATATGAACAATTTAATTAAGCCAAACAGGTAATGGAACTATGGAGACAAGGGAGGTTTTTCTCTAGACTGTCTCAAATATATTTAAATCATAATATGCTCTTTTAGAATAAGGTGTGACAACTATATGATAGTACAGTCACTAACAATTATACTGGAACACAGTATTTATAATAAATGTAAAAGTTAGTAGTACAGTACACAATGGGGCAACAAAACCTTTCTCTGTTCCTACACTTTTATGTTGGTATTGTATCACACTAATCACTTTCCATGTATCTGGCAAAATGTCAGACACTGGAGCCACATATAACAATTAACTTTAACCCTTTGAATGTTTCAGTCGTATATATACGTCTTGCGAGCCAATGTTTGACATACATGTACTCAAAAATTCTAGCAGCTTCAAGTCAAGCGGGAGAAAGCTGGTAGGCCCACATGTGAGAGAATGGGTCTGTGGTCAGTGTGCACAGTATAAAAAAAAATCCTGCAGCAAGCAGTGCATAACGAGAAAAAAAAAAAGCTCCGACCGTCTTTTTTGGATTAAAACGCTGACTTTGAGGTGTATTTTCGTATAGTTTTTATGGTTATATTCACATTTTTGTAGTCACATTTGATAGAATGGAAAACATATTATAGAAATGGACGTAATTTTCATTGGTTTTTCTATGAAAACGACCTTGAAATGGAGCTCAAAGTAGGGGAAATGTTTGATTTTTGCCAATGTTCAAAAGGAAACAAATGACATCACTGTCCAATAAATGTTCAACTAGCCATTCTAATATGCAGTCATGAATGGGGTGACACTATTTATACAATTATTACAATATTGCAGTAGTCTACACAACAGTAAATCTTCTATTTTTTGTTTGAAGAAAAATTCAAAACAGAAAGTAACACTAATATCAGAGGGGCCTGGAGACATGACTAATGAGCAAAAAAAAAAAAACGTTATTTTAGAGCCAGGAATGTCTGCATTGTTCATTCTCGACCCAATTTTGAAATTGGCATATTTTTTAATTTGCGTGAAATTGGCCAAATTGCCAATTTCTGACTATTTTATTGGGTAGTTGAAATCAGTAATTGGGCAGTTTCTTGTACTCAATCAATAGAACAAATGGAGTTCTAAAGAAATAGCAATGAGTTTGGTCAACTAGAACAATGGAATTAGCCGAAAATAGGGCTCAAAAAGGGCAAAATTGCCGATTCGTAAATATCGGCGAGGTCACTAACTTTGCGAGAGCGTAATTCCGTAAGTTTTCCATCAAATTTCGTACTTTTGGTGCCATTACCATTTGGAAAAGATTATCTATCATTTCATAAGAAAAAATAATTTTTTTTTTTCAAATATTTTGCGACACCAGGAGACACCTCAGGATTCGGGGTTGTGACAGTCAAAGGGTTAACCCTTTCAGGGTCCAGAGGCCAAATTTCGAAGTGCGCACCAGGGTCCAAGAATTTAAAAAAAAAAAAAAATTTTTTTTCTTATGAAATGGTACAGAATCTTTCTGAAGGTAATAAAACAAAAAGTACAAAATTTGAAGGAAAACTGACAAAATTATGCTCTCGTGAATTTTGATGTGTCAACGATATTTACGAATCGGCGATTTTGCCGACTTTGACTCCCATTTTAGGCCAATTACATTATTCCAGTCGACCAAATTCTTAGCTATTTCACTAGTATTACTTCTATTCTATCGCTTGAGCACAAGAAATCACCAAATCAACTGTTTCAACTACAAAATAAAGTGATCGGAAATTGGTAATTTGGCCAATTTAACACAAAGTTCAAAATATTCCAATTTCAAAATAGGGTCCAGAATAAACAATGTAGGTATTCCTGGCACTAAACTAACATTTCCTCTGTTCATTAGTTACATTTTGAGGCTTTACAAATGAATTCCATTTTGATTTTTTATTCATATAATGAATTTTATTCAAACCAAAAAATAGTAGATTTACTGTTATGCAATATTATAATAATTGTATATCATCACCACATTTGTGAATGTATATTAGACCCACCAGCTGGCGTGTATTAGACATGTGAGGTCGTTTGTTTACTCTTGAACATCAGCAAAAATTTAACATTTCCGGTACTTTGAGCTCAGTTTCAAGCCATTTCCAGTGCTAAAACCAATCAAAATCATCTCTATTTCTGTAATATGACTTCCATTCTATCAAATGAAATCAAGAAATCGCAAATACAACTATAAAAAACATGAAAAAACACTGCAAAGTCGGTTTTAATCGAAAATCACGGTCTCTGTTTTTTTTCTCTCATTATACACTATGTGCTGCAGGATTTGTTTTATGTGGTGCACACAAACCACACAGATGTATTCTCTCATATCTAGGCCCAAATTTACCACTCACAGCTTATCAGAGTGAGCTGAGCTCATGGTGTAGATCTACGGTTTGGACCCTGAACGTAAAACCGTAGATCTACGGCGCAGACCCTGAAAGGGCTAAAGAATAAGTCATGTAAGCCGAGACATAGCTCTTTTAATGATGTCTGGATAATGGTGGCATGTAGGGTAACACAAAGAATACAATATTTATGTAGGCCCTCGTTAAAGTTAGGAAAACATCAGCTAATTAACTTTATAAAAGTATTAGTGGTTCATTAACACAAGTAGAAAGTGAAAAGGTAAAGCCAAAGTACGTACATATGTAGCCTAATAAATACAGCTACAACACAGGAAGGAAGCACTTTAAAGATAATTAGAAATGAGTACAAACATCCCATCGAATTTCTGATCTGTTAATTTTTAGTAAACGAGTTATTTAAAACCAACTGAACAAGAATAAAATGTACAGTATTATTATATTCTCAAAATGTGCCAAACTCACATGGGTCATTAAGCACAGAAGAATAAAGAATAGATGAAAGAAGGAAGTGCTGGTTTTTCTTCATTGGAGAACATTTTTCTTACAATGGAAAATGCGAATAATGTACTATTAAAATGTGCAATACAGTGGTACATTGAGTTTCAAACAATTATATAAGTGTATTTTTGTAAGTGCTTTTCTAAGTGTATTTTTGGGGGTCTGAAGAGGACTAATTTAATTCACATTATTCCTCATGGGGAACAAATTCGTTTGGTATCGGCACTCGAACAGCTTTCTGGAACGAATTACGTTCGCGACTCGAGGTACCACTGTACTTCCATTACGGATTTCCCATTTGCAATATGAATCTTGTTTTAGCTATACATAATCTGTAGCCATACAAGAGTTTCTGTGCAGATGCCACCAAAAAATAAATCTAAACACAACCAATCCCAAAATAATCAAATACAAAATTTACCTTTCAGGAAGGAGAGCTCATTCTTTTCAAAGTTACTATACTTACTGCTCAAATTCAGCACATGGATTGTCTGCAAGCCAAAGACTCTTTAGCTTGGGAAGTTGACGGAGATAGAGAATTTCATTGATGTCGGAAATGTTATTTTTGCGAATATATAACTCTTGAAGATTTGGACAATGCTGAAAATCTGCTAATGTGCTGATGCGGTTCACACTAAAAAAAAGAAAAAAAAAAAAGATAATAACTGTGTTAATCAATATGATCTTTTGTCAAGTACAATGTCTGGTAAGAACATACAGTAATATTACTTTAATCAAAGCAAGATAAAAATTACATTCTGTACTGTATTTACACAACCTACAAAGAAATAAAATTATGAAATTTGAAAAAAAAAAAATTAAATCCCAAAATATTTCTTATAATAAACAAAAATACATTATACATAATTATATTTCATAGCTCATGATCACTAAGGTGCATATATGATGAGGGTGAGGAGCGAAGCATTCAAGTACAGTAAGTTCTCACTTAACGTAGTTTTGTTCAATGTCATTTCATTACAACATTGATGACAAAAAAAAAAAAATTGATTCCAGGCCAAGGTCACGTCCTCCCCATGTCTGTGTGGGTTCTATCTGGGTACTCTGGTTTCCTTCCACCTCCCAAAGATGCGCACGTTAGGTTAATTGGCGTTTCTAAATTATCCCAGTGAGTGAGAGAGAGATGCAAGCAGGCGGGTGGGCAGGTGCGCGCATGCGTGGCTGCATGCACGGGTGCGTTCGTGCATTTGCGGGTTCATGTGTGCACGTGCTTGCCATATTTCTTATTATTTGTTTTTGAACTGCATGGTGGTAGAATGTGCTCCTTACAATTTCCACTTTGCAAATACAGTGGACCCCCGCATAACGATGGCATCACATAGCGATTATTTCGCATACCGCTTACTTTAATCGCAAAATTTTTGCCGCGCATACCGATTAAAAACCCGCTCACCGATTTTCGTCCGAGACGCGTCCAATGTGCGCCCTCAGCCAGCCTCACATGTGCCGCCTGTGCCATTGTTTACCAGCCAGCCTCCGCGGTAACATCCAAGCATACACTCGGAATATTTCGTATTATTACAGTGTTTTCGGTGCTGTTTCTGGAAAATAAGTGACCATGGGCCCCAAGAAAGCTTCTAGTGCCAACCCTACACCAATAAGGGTGAGAATTACTATAGAAATGAAGAAAGAGATCATTGATAAGTATGAAAGTGGAGTGCGTATAGCCGACCTAGTCAAGCTGTACAAGAAACCCCAATCAACCATCGCTACTATTGTGGGCACCAGAAAGACAATCAAGGAAGCTGTTCTTGCCAAAGGTTTAACTGTGTTTTCGAAACAAAGATCGCAAGTGATGGAAGATGTTGAGAGACTCTTATTGGTGTGGATAAATGAAAAACAGATAGCAGGAGATAGCGTCTCTCAAGCGATCATATGTGAAAAGGCTAGGAAGTTGCATGAGGATTTAATTAAAAAATGCCTGCAACTAGTGATGATGTGAGTGAATTTAAGGCCAGCAAAGGTTGGTTTGAGAGATTTAAGAAGCGTAGTGGCATCCATAGTGTGATAAGGCATGGTGAGGCTGCCAGTTCGGACCACAAAGCGGCTGAAAAATATGTGCAGGAATTCAAGGAGTACATAGAAACTGAAGGACTGAAACCTGAACAAGTGTTTAATTGTGATGAAACAGGCCTGTTCTGGAAGAAAATGCCAAGCAGGACCTACATTACTCAGGAGGAAAAGGCACTCCCAGGACATAAGCCTATGAAAGACAGGCTTACTCTTCTCATGTGTGCCAATGCTACTGGTGATTGCAAAGTGAGCCTTTATTAGTGTATCACTCTGAAACTCCCAGAGTGTTCAGGCAAAAGAATGTCCTCAAGGATAATTTGTGTGTGCTGTGGAGGGCAAACAGTAAGGCATGGGTCACTAGGAATTTTTCTATAACTGGTTACACCATGCATTTGCCCCCAATGTGAAAGATTACCTAACTGAAAAGAAATTAGAACTTAAGTGCCTCCTGGTGTTAGACAATGCCCCTGGTCATCCTACAGACGTGGCAGAGCGACTTATGGGGACATGAGCTTCATTAAGGTGAAGTTTTTGCCTCCTAATAACCACTCCTCTCCTGCAGCCCATGGACCAGCAGGTTATTTCCAACTTCAAGAAACTGTACACAAAAGCTCTGTTTGAAAGGTGCTTTGTAGTGACCTCAGAAACTCAACTGACTCTAAGAGAGTTTTGGAGAGATCACTTTAATATCCTCAATTGTGTAAACCTTATAGGTAAGGCTTGGGAGGAAGTGACCTAAGAGGACCTTGAACCTGCTTGGAAGAAACTGTGGCCAGGAATGTGTAGACAAAAGGGATTTTGAAGGGTTTGAGGCTAACCCTGAGATGATTATGCCAGTTGAGGAATCCATTGTGGCATTGGGAAAGTCCTTGGGGTTGGAGGTTAGTGGGGAGGATGTGGAAGAGTTGGTGGAGGAGGACAATGAAGAAACTAACCACTGATGAGCTGATAGATCAACTTCAAGAGCAAGAGGCCAGACCTGGGGAAACTGGTTCAGAGGAGGGGAGAGAGAAATTGAAGAAGTTGCCTACTACAAAGATAAGGAAATCTGTGCAAAGTGGCTTGAAGTGCAAACCTTCATGGATGAAAATCACCCTCACACAGCTATTGCAAGCCGTGCTGGTGATTATTACACTGACAATGTTGTGAAACACTTTAGGCAAGTCATAAAGGAACGAGAGGTACAGGCCACTATGGACAGATATCTTGTGCGAAAGAAGTCCAGTGACTCTGAGCTGGCCCTAGTGGCATTAAAAGAAGAAGGGAATGTAACCCCAGAAAAGGACTTGCTACCTCAAGTCCTAATGGAAGGGGATTCCCCTTCTAAACAGTAAGAAGATAATGCTCTCCCCTCCTCCCATCCCATCAATCATCACCAGATCTTCAATAAAAGTAAGTGTCATGTAAGTGTGCATGCCTTTTTCAGTTTGTGTGTATTAAAATTAACATTTCATGTGGTAAAAAATTTTTTTTTTCATACTTTTGGGTGTCTTGCACGGATTAATTTTATTTCCATTATTTCTTATGGGGAAAATTCATTCACATAACGATTATTTCGCATAACAATTACCCCTCTTGCACGGATTAAAATCGTTAACCGGGGGTCCACTATACAGTGGAACCTCAAAAATCGAACTGCTCCCAACATGACCAATTATGTAAGTGTATTTTTGTAAGTGCTTTTATAAGTGTATTTTTGAGGGTCTGAAATGGACTAAACTAATTTACATTATTCCTGATGGGAATAACAAAAAAACGCACAATACCGTGACTGGAACGATACACAAATAACCCGCACATAAAAGAGAGAAGCTTACGAAGACGTTTCGGTCCAACTTAGACCATTGACAAAGTCACACTAACCAGAAGTGGAGCAGGACGGCTATATATAGGCAGGAAGAGGTGGAGGTAGTAGTAGTAGTAGTAGTAGTACAAGAATGGTATATAATACCGACATGATGAAATTAAGACACATGCGCAACACCCGGGCATCCCTATCGTAGACATTTCGCCATCCAGCCAGCCACTGGATGGCGAAACGTCCACAACAAAGACAACCAGACGCCACACATGTGTCTTAATTTCATCAGTAGTTGTAGTAGCAGTAGTAGTAGAAGAGGTAGTAGTAGTGGTAGTGGTAGAAGTGGGAAATAAGGAGGAGGAGCCAGTCAAATACAAAGGAAGGGGAGCACTGCAAGAGAGCTAGGTGCCCACTGAGGGAGAGCAAGCGCACAGAGGTGCGTGAAAGGGGAAGTGGGAAATAAATGAAGAAGGAACAGAAACACGAGACAGAAGAGAGAAAGACAACCCAGAGGAGAAAAGGAAAGAGGAAAGGGGAAGAGGGAGAAGAAGAAAAAAGAAAGAAAAATTGAGGAGTCAGGTTAAGTCCTCATTTTTTCTTTTTCTTTTTCTTCTTCTCCCTCTTCCCCTTTCCTTTTCTCCTCTGGGTTGTCTTTCTCTCTTCTGTCTCGTGTTTCTGTTCCTTCTTCATTTATTTCCCACTTCCCCTTTCACGCACCTCTGTGCGCTTGCTCTCCCTCAGTGGGCACCTAGCTCTCTTGCAGTGCTCCCCTTCCTTTGTATTTGACTGGCTCGTCCTCCTTATTTCCCACTTCTACCACTACCACTACTACTAACTCTTCTACTACTACTGCTACTACAACTACTGATGAAATTAAGACATGTGTGGCATCTGGTTGTCTTTGTTGTGGACATTTTGCCATCCAGTGGCTGGCTGGATGGCGAAACGTCTACGATAGGGATGCCCGGGTGTTGCGCATGTGTCTTAATTTCATCATGTCGGTATTATATACCGTTCTTGTACTACTACTACTACTACCTCCACCTCTTCCTGCCTATATATAGCTGTCCTGCTCCACTTCTGGTTAGTGTGACTTTGTCAATGGTCCAAGTCGGACCGAAACGTCGTCGTAAGCTTCTCACCAATATTCAAAACACTCAACCTACTCACCATACAAAACATCCATACTTATTACTGCACCTATTACATACATAGAACACTTAACTCTGATATTAACCCTCCCCTCAAACATCTCCTTGCCAACCTCAACAGAACACATGACCATAACACAAGGCACAGATCACTCTTTGATGTTCCTCGTGTCCATCTCACGCTATGCAAAAACTCAATGCACATAAAAGGCCCTAAAATCTGGAATTCATTACCTGTAAATATAAAAGAAACACTACCTGTTTATAAATTCAAGTCTCTTCTCAAAGATCACTTACTCACTCAAAACCAAATAAATACTGAATAACTGAACCTTATAAATTGTATATCCTAAATGTTACTCACAATTATATCACACAAATGTTAAACCTAGGACCCAATCTAACTTTGTTATTTTTTTAAATACACTACCTAACAGAATACTCCATTCGACTGAATGTACAGCAATGCATGCAACCATATGACCTGTCTTTGTAATACTCATTTGTGCTTTATAGTTATCTGTTTACAATAATGTTTTATCACTGATTTCATCATTGCTTAGTTAATCTTAAGTTAATTTTAAGCCAGCCCGTAATGCTATGCATATAAGTGGCTTTGGCATGCTGCTCTTACCTGTATTTTTTTGT